AGCGGATGACAAAATGAATGATACCGAATCGACAAAGATAAGGAGTGGCCGAAGACTTACTTACCTCCATACTGACGAGAAATGCTCCGAAAACAAATCAAAGATCAAGCATTGCACCGACTCAAACGACAACAATCATTGTGAACGGGATGAAGAAATGTGACGAATACACCTGGCAATAGACGCAGTAGAATCTGTCCGAGAAAATTCACCGAACAGGATCTTCTTGACATGCATTTGAAAAGTCATCAGAATTAGTGCTCAAAATGGAATAGGAATTTTTTTTACAAAGCCAAATGTGAACATGAAAAACGTTGCACTTCTTTACGATAATGAATGTTATTATATTGATATGAACAAGTGATGTGATGTATGTTGGTATCATTGTGAATTATGCCGTAATAAATTCAAACAAAACAAGAATGTAATGCATGTATAACAGAACAAAAGATTGGAACAAAAAAATTGATTGATGTAAAAAAATATTGATGAAACGAAGAAAATAAAAACAAAAAACATATGAATGTCACTATCCGATCACAATTGAAATTTATGCTTTTTCTATTCTTTAAACAAAAAATTCTTTGTTTCATTTTTGCTACTGTACTCTTTCGCTGCCATTTCCTCATTCGCTGCCATTTATTTTCACATCGAAAGCTGCTATATATTTCCGCATTATTCTCAAATAAGTTGGCTAGATTGCATTGCTAGTTGAAATCCATATGTACGAACGTAAGTTCGTTATATTCATGTTAGACGTGGTAGACATAGAGTTACCGTATGAGTATGTTTATGTTTATTGACTAGTACGTACGCGCGTGTACCTCGTCGCAATGTTGTTCAAGTTTTTGTCAGTCTACTGTTTCGAAACTAGAGTCTTAGCACACATAGTATATATTTGAGCAAGTCACCTAGGGCATCAGTCAGCACGAGATTCTTCTGTTATTTGTGGTGTACACAAGCATTTTTTCAAGCGATGGCACAGAATATTCAAATCCCACAATTCTGGGAATTGATTGAAAAATCGCTGTCAATTAATCCAGAAGGCATACAAGAGATTAAGGAGATTTTGACCGTTTTTAAGTATACGACCATTGAAAGCATCGTCAAGTTTGTGAAACGCAAAGAAATTAGTATGATTGAATTGGAGTTTTTGAACCGAAAAACAGAGCTGATCGAAAAATATCCACATTTACAAAATTTTACGTTTGCGTCAGGTGTTTATTCTATATTGAGTGATATTGCATTGAAAATTAAAAAGAACTATGTACAAGAGCGCAATGATATCGATTTGGAACAAGTTTTGGAAAAAGTGGTTACTGATGCTAGAAAGGTATTCATTTCCGTTTTACTTTTTTGAATCTCAACTAGTTGAAAAATCATTCGTTCCTTTTGTCTCAGATCGCACCGGATCTGACGACCGCTTCTGTTGTGCTCGACCAAGTTGGAACTGATATGAAATGTTCCATTCGTTGTACAAAATGTACAAAACTATCGGCCTTGTCACCATATTACACCCAGGATGGTATTGGATTTCGCATAAACAATTTCGAACGACACATGAGATCGCATATTGAAATTCCGGCACCGTGTGAAACACCAACAATTGCGACCGCAATCGGATCATTGCGTGAGTCTGCTTCGATGCGCCAACTTCAGGCCGAGCAAGCAAAAACTTTATTCCTCAAAAGAAAAATTGACAGCATCAGACGATCGTCAAAGAAGATAAAGCCGAACAATGCCATATACTTTTCCGAACCAACAACAAATCCACATGACGAACTATTGAAAGAAAATGAACATTTGAAAAAAAAAATACTTGAATTTAAACAACAATTTAACGATGAAATTTTAAATTTACAAAAACAAAAGCAGAAAGTGATTGAACAATACACTGCAACAAGTAGTTCGGTGGATTCGAAATGGAAGAAAAGTTTGGAAGATGAAGTGAAAATGGTGCGTGGCCAGCTGCGGTCATCACAAATGGAAAGACGTAATCTTCTGCATGCTTTGTTGGACTTACAAGGTAAAGTACGTGTGATGGCCAGATTGTGTCCAGCCAAATGTTTGTCGGCCAAAATTCAATACCAAATAAACTCCAATCAAACAAAATTAAAGTGTAAGTGTGTTTGAGTATTTAGGCTAACTCTCCGCCCACTAAATTTTATTCATTACTCGTTTGATATTCAAAATCTACGTGGCATAATTCTAGTGTTGAAAAATGGCGAACAGAAAGACTTTAAGTTTGACTATATCTTTGATGATGGCAAGAACCAGGCTGATGTGCTCGAGTTTATTAATCCGTTAATAAAATCAGCACAGGATGGCTATAATGTTTGTGTTTTAGTGTACGGGCAAACGGGTGAGGCAGAACATTTTTTTATGCTGGATGAATAAAACCAATAATATTTCATTATATTAATAGGTAGTGGAAAAACTTTCACAATGATTGGATCCGATAGTGAGCCAGGTATCATTCCACGTCCAGCCAGCCAGATCACATTCCTTTCGAACGAGTTACTTTCCTCACGGGAATCAAAAGCATCTGGATGGAATTACTCAGTCGAAGTATCAGTACTTGAAATATACAACGATACTATGTATGACTTACTTGATGACACAAATAAGCCAACAGTGTCGTATGGATCCCAGATTCAGAATTTGACCAAAGCCAAAGCATCGAATGAGGAGCAATTGAAAGGCATATGGTCAAAGGGAGTGAAAAGCCGAAGAGTTGAGACGACCACCGGTAACGATTTTTCATCTCGATCACACGCAATAACACAATTTCATCTCACGGGCGAACACAGCGATGGTTCCATGCGAACCTCAACAATCAATTTGGTTGATTTGGCCGGATCGGAAAGTGCGACTGATAGTCAAAATATGAATGAAACGAGAGCAATAAATTCGTCGCTATCCGCACTAAATGGAGTGTTTGCGGGGTTGAGAAAGAATACGCCAATCGATTTCACTCAATGTCTTTTGACAAAGATATTGAAACCCTGCTTCATAGATGATTCCAAAACACTTCTGATTGCAAATTTATCTACCGATCAACATAACTACTCTGCTACTGTAAACACCTCACGTTTTGCGAACTGCAAGTGATATATAACTGACATCCTAAGAACAAAATAACAACTTATGAGCTCTTTATCAATAAAGAAGACGAAAAAAAAAATAGCGCAAAAAAGAAACACAGGAACCTAGTCGCTATCTCTTTCCAGTAACGAGAAAAATTAAAAAAATGTGTTTTCCGCTCAATGCATGCTTGTGTCACTTTTGCTCGCAACTTCATTTGTTTCTTTTTTGCTCTAAGTTTTTTTTCGTCTTCTTTATTGATAAAGAGTTCATAAGTTCTTCTTTTATTCTATGGGTGTCAATTCTGAGTTCCGCTTTTGATTTTTCCAATTTTTTCTTCCTATTATAATATTCAAGTTAATTAAAAACATGCAATTACAGCATCAAACTGGTTGAATAAAATAAAAATAAATCGTTGCACAAAAACCAATAGAAACTAAGTTTCTTCAGTAAAATCAAATTAGAACATTATACAAAAAATTTCAGTTACATAGTATGTAAACATAAACAAATGATCACAGGAATAATTTGACAAAAAGCTGTTTCGTATTTATTAAGTTGAGTGGTGGTGGAGGCCGGTCGATGTAATTGTGTGTGTGTGTATGTGTTACAATATTCGCATTTTCACATTGACGTTTCGTATACTGCCACACATTCCACCGATACAAAAACAATGCTCTAATTTTGAATAATAAAATGTAATTTTTATCGACGCAAACAACCGATTCCTATAAATTGGAGACAAAAAATAAAAAGAAATTCATAATAATATAAGATTGGATAGATTTGTTCACCGAAATGATTTGAGTCATTGAGGGAGAAACAAATTTTACTCTGGGGTGCATTGATGAAGATTTTAAACAAATGAGATTGTCTTTCGATTCGGATTCTCTTGCCATTTATCGTAACCACATTTATTCGATGTGTGTGTATGTTTTGTAAATTTCTTACTTCATCAACTTGCGCGTGTGTAAGTTTATTGCTACTGTTGCTGCAACTATACAGCCATGTTTGCTACCGTTTATTTGCATGCATGTGTTTGTGCGAAGTTGATACGAAACGTCAGTTATCCGTCTCCGTCAGATCAAATTGTGTTTACAATTCTCGAACAAATATCGTATTTGGTTTATTAGTTTTTTTTATCCTTGAAAATCAAGTCAAAATTAAAATACATCAACGGCGAATGTCCTGTAATTCGAATAACTTGAATTGAATTAAAAATTTAGCATAATTTGGCTGTTGTAGAAATTATAATTCAGTCAAATTGTAGTCAAATTTTTTATCTAACCAAGTGCGTCTA